GAGAAGGGCTGGGACATGGAAACACGGAGTGAGGAGGTTGGGGACAATTACTAATATGACTGTTTTCTTGCCGTTCGCCAAATTCATCTTCAGAGACCATTATTTATCCCCCTTTTAGATCCGCCCCGCAGTCTCGGTCTAACCTCCTTTTCAATGTTTCAACTGACCCCCCCCACCGCGCTCTCCCTCAGTTTATCCACAGGTCACTTTATAAACTCCGGAGAAGTTCCAGCACTTTCTGTTTGTATCTGAGATGGTCAGCATTTCCTTTTAGTAAAGAGGTGAGTGATGGGGGTGATGAGGGAGAGAGTTTCCCCCCACCCCCCAGATCCCCCTCCCTCCGTGTCCCCGGGAGGGAGGCACTGACAGTAAATACCTGCAGCTCCTTTCCCGGGACCGGGACCGGGATCAGGATCAGAGCCAGACACCGACAGGAGACCGAGAAGCTGCTGAGAAACATTTTGTAAAACTCCATGTTGGATGAAGATCAGATTGTGTCTCAGTCAGAAACAGCCCAGAACCGATTCTGCGATGAACAGAATAGATTAGAATTAGATTTATTGTCACTTGCACTCAAATTCCAAAAGAACACGAGTACAGGGAAAAGTTAACAGCAACGCTCCCACACGGCTCCATATGATGTACAAAGTACCTCGGTACATACCGAGATATAAGTAATCCAAGATAACAAGGCGTAGAGCTGGATGAACACAGCAGGCCCAGCAGCATCAGAGGAGCAGGAAGGCTGACTTTTCGTGCCTAGACCCTTCTTCAGAAATGTAGAAAAGTAATCCAGTTTGCTTTTGCTGTTGGAAATGTCCGTCCATTTGGGTCAGCGATGTTCTCACGGTTGGGTCCAGTCGCTGTCCTTTCCCCTGCCCCAGATGTGAAATGAACAGTAAGTTAACAATATCCCATTGCACAGCAGTGACTGTGATCAGGGGAACAGTGTGGGTCTGAACAGCTGAGGGCACGCCAGCTCCTGGACTCTCCCATTCGCACAGAGAGGGCGGGGGAGTGAGAGATCTCGGTGCAGCCTCTGTCGGGAAAAACCGGGTCAAAGCTGCTTTTGCCCTGAAGGGATTGGAGTGAGCCCACGATCCGAGAGGGCAAATCCCGGTAAACTGTGAATCCAGAGCCGGGGAAGGGGAAGGCACAGGGAGTGATCCACAAACACCAGCTCTCTCTCTCTACAATGTGGGTCAGGGTGTGGTTTGTCACTGATGCACAATAACTTTCTGACAGTAACAAAGTAAGTGAAACTGAAACTGATGAAGGGTCTAGGCCGGAAACGTCAGCTTTCCTGCTCCTCTGATGCTGCTTGGCCTGCTGTGTTCATCCAGCTCTACACCTTGTTGTCTCTTGAAACTGAAACTGCTGCGTGTTCTTCGCAACTTCCGGAAGAACCAGGAGACATTTTGTTGTAATTTGGACGCGATTTATCAGGGGAACAACACATTTCCCAGCGAACAGAGAGAGAGAGAGAGAGAGGGAACGCAGCGGGACATTGCAGCAGCGGCTCTGACTGACGGACCATCTGCTCTTCCTCCAACATGGAGTTTTACAAAATGCTTCTCAGCGGCTTCTCGGTCTCCTGTCGGTGTCTGGCTCTGATCCTGATCCCGGTCCCGGTCCCGGGAAAGGAGCTGCAGGTATTTACTGTCAGTGACTCCCACCCGGGGACACGGAGGGAGGGAAATGTGGGGGAAACTTTCCGAACAGTGAATGTATTGGGAAAAGGGCTCACAGTGTTTTCTTGTTGTAGGGACACAGCTCACAGAAACTACTCCCGCTGCTACTCCTGCTAAGTATTGTTGCTCCTGTTTCAGGTCAGTGCTGTGATCCTGTCTGGTCCTGTCAAAATTTTATACGTTTCTAAACTCTTTTAAACTCCGGTTAATATATCGAGGGAACCATTATGATAAATAGAGCCATCCTGAACTGTAACCTTCCCACGTAAATGAAAACAGTGAGCAGTGATTGTTGTAATTTCAGCATCTCAATATATCCATGTGAAGCTTGAGATGTAATGTACCAGCAGGGAGGTTATATCTGTGGATAAATACTTTCAATCTTTTCCAGGTGACTCGCCTGTCCCAGTTTCTGGGTTCCTTGGGGAGCAGGTTGTGCTGCCCTGTACCTACAAAGGGAAAGTCCCAGTCTCTGATTTACTGGTCATCTGGGGGAGACGCAAGACAGAAATTGTACACAAGTTTGTCAATGGAAACAATAATTTGAGAGAACAAGATTCACGGTTCAAAAACAGAACAAACCTGTTCAAAGATCAACTGGAACAAGGCAACTGGTCACTTCTGATCTCTGACCTTCAGAAGACAGACCAGGATGAGTATCAGTGTCAGATTTTCTGGAACACGACTGTCGGTATATATTGGGAGCAAACTGAAATTGTTCATCTCTCTGTAAAAGGTGAGAGGTTTCTGTTTTAGGTATTGTATTTAATCTCTGATGCTATGGGAATAGTAGTGCAGGGGTTATGAGAAATGTGAAGACTTGGACTAATAATCCAGAGAATAAAAATTCACATCCCACCATGGGACTTTCAGGGTTTAAATTCAGGGTATTAAATAAAAATCTGGAAAGAGAAAGAAGAAAAGTGACGGTGAAGATGTTGGATTGTTGTGAAACTACTCACTGATCACCCTTTAGGTAAGAAAACACAAAGTGCTCCCAGAGTACATAAGGAAGTAACTGTGGTAATAGTTGCTGGATTAGTGATTATTGTCCAAGATCTGTAGACTCTGAAAGAGTTCCTATAGATTGGAGGGTAGCTAATGTAACCACACAATTTTAAAAAAGAGCAGGGAGAGAGAAAGCAGGATAATTATAGACTGGTTAGCTTGGTATCTGTGGGGTACCACAGGGGTTCAGTGCTTGAACCCCATGTATTCACAAA